CTTGGCCCTGCCTTCTCCACTGGCTTCCTCGTAGCACATGCATTTGCTTCTTGGCAAATGGGGTCCATAAAATGCTACTGAATTAAACCAGCAAAGTGTTTCATTATATTTACTCTGCAATCACTGTGATAGATCCTTTTCTGGTCTAAATAGGTGCAGTCTCACTGGTTTGAGTGCAGTTTGCCTTCTTGGCATCAGAAGGGAATTGGCTCAACGTGGCCAGGTGGCCAGGAGTCATCAGAGATGCCAGAGAGCAGAGGATCAACCCCTGTGATTCCAGATCTGATTGCAGTTGTTTGCAATTCCATGTACACTCATGGAAGACACTTTATGTGTTAAAACTTGCTGCAAGCCTTTGATATCTTTGACCTTTTTAAAAAAAGCCTTCTAAATTTTGATATTCCCTAAGCAGACAGCTGGTATTTTTTGATTGAATAGATAGAGATTTCATGTCTAAACGCATTTCTTGGTTTCACTTTGCTGGATTACTCCACTGCTCCCTGTATGTTCTCTGCTGCTCACAATCTTCTCTTGTGATTTGTTTTTGAGTGATACCATCAAAAAGGTTGCAAAGAATTAAAGGGGCAGAAATATCCCTGGAAAAATGTCCTGCCAGTGTCTCCCTTTGGATCTAAGTATGGATATTTGGGTGCATACAGTCCCACCTGCAGCTGCACAAAAAATTGCCCCTGATCCCTTCTGGTTGGAACAAATGCTTGGCTCCCAAGAGCCATGAGCAACCAGATAGAGATCTTCTGGGAGGAGGTGGGGAAGGCTTAAAAAAACTGCAAAGCCTGTCAAAATCTTTGGCTGTGGAGAGGGTGAAAAAGGGCCCTCCAAGTGCTGATGCTGAGCCCAGGACATGCTGGCTGCAGCACAGCTCTCTTGGTTGCAGCCTCACAAAACAACAGCTCAAATACCAGAACTGGTGCCCTATTTTCTTCATCTGCCACCTGAATAAGTCATCTGGAAAGAGGGCAAATGATACGTGGTCAACAAAATGAAGAAATCCCTCTGAGCGGTTCTCATTTACAGCACAATCATAAAAATCCTGGCAGAAAATCAAACCATTTCCATATCAGTTGAGCACACAGCATTGCCAGCACGGTCAGTGTCAACAGTGCAGGGGCAGGAGACAGAGGCTGCTGTGTTCTTGGTGCTGCAGCTCAGACAGAAGATGAAATCATGGTAGTTCAACGTTTGGAGACTTAACTACTGATTTTCTGGCTTTCTGTTTGTGCTGGAATAAAACCTGCTTGTGCTTGGAAAAAAAAAAATTGGTTGTTAGGAATGTATTTGCAAGTGTTTGGCCATAATTATTTAAAAAACCTTCAAACACTAGAAATACACCTACTTTTGCAGAGCTGTAGATACAGTCTCTTCTTGGTGGTGGGATGGTTGCAGCAGTGTGTTTGTAAGGGCTGTTTTTTGCTGTAATGGCCAAAGAATGATTTTGGATGTCTTATAAACAAGTGCATGGTACAGGGAAAAACAACAGACCATATTTTTGGCCTTGGCTGTATTGTTTATGCCTTTAGCAAGCACCACTTACTCAACTTATTCAGTATTTAAAGCTTGTTTTCTCTACATAGTACAGGCCCAGGAACACATGGCTTGAACTACATATGCCAGCATCAGACCTTTATTGAGGGGGATGGAAAATAGGTCTGGTTTTTTTCAGTTTCAGATTTTGGCTTGGTTCAGGGACAAATACTTCAAATTTTTGAAGTATTTTGGTATATTGATGCTTGTGACATTTTTGTGTTTATTTCAGACACTGAAGATAGAGAGAATAAAAATTTCTAAACTCATTATACACTTAGCCTGAACTGATTCAAAAGCCAGATTTCCTACAGGGATCTTAAGCATTTGGTGCTTTAGGAGGTGATAATTTCCAGAAGGGTGGTTTTCTTTGGTGCCATTCTGAAAGACCCAGTTCTTAGCTGAGAAACCTGGGGGCTGCCTGCTGATCCATATCATTGGAGATCTGAGGGTGTTTAATGAATCTCAAATTGAGCATCCAAAAGCAGAAACACTTCAACTCATTAATCACTGTGAGAGATTTTGGCCAAGCCATATAAATTAAGAGCAGTAATTCTCCAGCAGAAAAGGAACATGGTGGTGTGTTTTCAGTGACAGTTGTGATATTGCTGATTGCTTACATTTATATCAAAGACATGCCCGGGGTTGACTTTGGAGTTGTAAATCAACATCACCATAACTTTGGGTGCCTTGAGTGTCTCTGTGTTCATTGTACTTCAGAATAATTTTTGATGACATATCCTTCAAAGGTCTCTTCAAAAATCCAAATCTTGGCCTAATAAGATTAAGACTTCACTGAATTAAGATTAAGATTTCATCTCATCATATTTTTGGGAGTAAAGAGTATTGGGGTAAATCTGCTGTTGCTGCTAATAGACGTTGTGTGCATTACCCTGTCAGATGAAACTTTTAGTCTGTGAGTTTCAAAGAAGTTTTTTTCCTGATAAAAGTAAAAGGTGATGTAGAAATAAAATGTGGAACATTTTGGAGAAGGGTGCAGTGCTATACATAATTTATTGGGCACTGTTTGTACAGTCAATTGTTGAGTTATAAATAAAACAGAGGATTAACACAAGGATGAAAGGGTGAAACTGCGGGTATTATTTTCTCTGTATTTCTATTAAAGAATAGGAAAAGTTTCCAAGTTTGCTCAAACAGCCCATTTTGGTTTGGTTATTGATATTCACCGTGTTGTACCTATTTTTGGCTGTATCACATTGGAGACTTTCTGTCTCACAGAGTGCCTTTTCCTCCGTAAATGTTCTGCAGGCTGCAGAACCTTTCTCAGAGCTCAGTGAGGAGCCCCAGCACGGCCAAGGTGAAACCCGAGGCAGGCAAAGGAGCCTCTGCCACACTGAATTCCCAGTCCCAGAGCTGCTGAAGAACAGCTGGACTCCCCTCATGGACACAAAGTCCCTTGGGGCTGTTCCAGCTTGGCACCCACCTGTAAGGCTGTTTCTCCATCCCAATGGATCCTCAGCTCCCAGTTCCAGCTGGAGCATTGGCACAGGGACCAGGGATCTGTCTGTACCAGGCAGATGGTTCCTGCCAGCAGAGAAATCCCTTGAAGTGGAGAAATGCTGAACCTAAGTAAGATCACGAAAATGAGCTTAGTAGATTTAAGAATAAGATCCATAGACATTTCAAAATAATCTGTTGTACGTGTTTGCAGTGGTGCTCAGAATTAAGTGAGGAGGAAGTTTCTCCTGGATGCCTCGGAGCAGGCTTTGTATCCATGGTGGAGGTGTTTCCTGGATGTGAGTAGGAATTAGCACAGAGACTGGAATCCATGGGCTCTGCATGATTGTGAGCAGCAGAGAACATGGCCTCCTGTGTGTTTGTTAGGGTCCTTAAATTCACATCTCTTCATTTGAGATTTCACCCTCTTTGCTTAATGGGAAGATTAACCAATTCACATCTCTCCATCTGAAATTTCACCCTCTTTGCTTAATGGGAAGATTAAGCTCATGGATTCAAGTCTCTTGTGCTTGGACTTTATGAAAACAACAGGAGTAAAATATATAATTTTGTTGTATATAGGCCATGGGCTAAGCATCCTTTGCAGGTGCTGCAGGAGGTGTCTGGTTTGAAATCTCCAGTTCTCCTGCTGGGATGGTGCTGACGCAGAGCTGTGATCCTGAGCAAAAACATTCAGGCTGATGAAGAGGAAAGACATGAGCAATTTGAACTTAGGAGTGAAACATTTCCTAGAACTGAGCCTGAATAAAGTCTGGAACAGCTGAACAGGAAATAAGCTAATAATGGGATTTTACAATATGCATTTCCCATATAAGGCATTGAAATGTAGCATAGGTTTATGGATTTGGTGGCTGATCTTCTGCCTGTTTTGGTGAAGATCTTAGGTTTCTTCCCTGTTTGTGTAGCTGTGTGTGTGAGGTCCTTTCTCCACTCCAGACTGAAGTGTTTCATCTCTCCACTGTCGTCAGTGGTCCCTGGATGGGCCATTCTAGGCCAGACCAGGGAAGAGAGCAGTTAACAATCCCCTCTTGCTGCCCTTTGTTTTTGTTGGGGAGCTATTTCCTTTAGCCCTTGAGGCTGAGGCATAGGAAGGGGAAGAGAGGTGGGGAGCACCCGTCTCAGTGTGGTTCATGCTTCTGAAAATAAGTTCCCCAAAATCTGATGTGGGGAAAGGAAGCCCTGGCTCCACAGAGCCTGCTGTCTCCCTCAATAAACAAAGGACTGGCTTTGGGCACGTTGCCCAAAGTGTTGGTGCAGGGTGTGTTCCCATCCCCACTGCTCTGCCTGGCCTTTTAAGGCGATGTGACAGCGAGCTGGAGACGTGGAAAGGTGTGTAATTGTGTGTAATTCAGCTGTGATTAATGAGCACGAGGCTCTTCTGCAGCTTCCCTCTTTCTGCAGCATCGCTTGGATTCCTTCTCACCAGTAACTCGCTGAGATTTTCAGAGTTTGGCCCCTTCTGCACTGCGAGTGCAATCTCCTGCCAGCTCTTATGCTGCATTAATTTAGAGCCAACTACCTTTCCAAATGTGCTCTGCACTGTGGAACAGGTTTTGCTTGTAAATGCAAGGCCAGATGTTCAGAAGAGGAGGGCTCCCGTTTGGGCATCTGGCAGTCACTGCTGGGCCACAAACCCATCACAGCTGAAAATCTGAAATCTCTCTGCTTAGGCAACACAGTACTCAGGCTGGCCAGTTTGTGCACTGCTCTAAGAGGTGCCTTTCTCCTTTTAATTCAGGAGCTCTTTCAAAACAGCACACACCAAGGCACAGTCCCAGTTTCAAACCACAGCTTGTGCCTAACAAGTTATTTTGATTTCTTGCTGAGCAGGGGTTCACTTTCCAGTTATAGCTAATGTTTTCCTTTCCTTTTTCTGCAAAATCTGTTAACAAAGGCTAAATAAACAATGAAGGTAGGTCTACTGGCAAGATAAGAAATAGGTCTGATTTATTAATAAATGTTTCTTTTCTTTTTTCCAGTGATATATTCGATGCCATGTTCCCTGTCACACACATCGCAGGAGAAACAGTCATACAACAGGGTAATTATTCCTGTCATTTGTTTGCTAGAGTCTTTTAATTCACATCTCTCCATTTGAGATTTCACCCTCTTTGCTTAATGGGAAGATCAACCATATTCCAAAGGCCTCCAGATGTGCAGCTATATGATCAGTTCATGGATTCAAGTCTCTTGCTACACATGCAGAGAACCCCACTCTGGTGGATCTCCAGGGTTTCAAAGTGCTGCAGTTAAATGTAGACAAACAGCACTGCAAATTAAAATGTTCATTCCTTAACTGAAGATAGTCAGGAAGTAAACCCCAGCTCAGGATGCATAAGGGTGGCACAGGCAAGCTGAGAGTAATTAGAGATGGAAAATATTTTTATGGTTGTTGGGAATATTCAACACCTCATTGTGCTGTATCAGAGCTATCACACTTGGCAACTTACCTGCGTGCCTGCAGCACATCAGGGAGGACTTCATTACCCTCAGGCTATATTAAAACCTCTTGAGTGTTTATCCTGAATGAATATTGAATCAATCAAAAGAGATAAATTAATGCAATTGAAAGGTATTAATAGAAAGAAACCATAGCGATACTTTGCTTTGTGAAAGCAAATAAGCAAGGATGTTTCAGAAAATTAATCTCTCTCTAAGTAATCTGGTGTACAAACCTGTGCAAATATGTACAGGATTAAATGCAGGGACAGGAAGTTATTGAATAGCTTGGCAGTCCTTCAGGAAACAATCACCTTTTGTATTTTGCTTCCAGGTGATGAGGGAGACAACTTCTATGTGATTGACCAAGGCGAGGTGGATGTAAGTATGTTCTTGCAGTATAATATTTATTTTGAAGCTGCAGAATAAAATTGTGTGCTTTGGCAGAGGGCTTGAGCCAGCCACGTGCTGTGGGTCTGTCTCCTTCTTGAACTAGATTTCACAGGATGGGTTTCATTACTTTGCTTTTGTTGTGTTAAGTTATTTGTTCATAGTTTTAAATTTGGCATGTGTTACATCCTAGCCTATTTCTCCATTCCAAGCAGGAAATCAAAACCAAGCAAATGACATTATCTTCAGAGCCCTAACCACACCTGGAGGTGTGCAGTGTTTGGCAGAGCAGGCCACCATGCTGGAATGCACCTGAGGGCTCATAATGAAAATATTTTCTTTAATCAGTTAGCTTAGCTCATGTGTTGTTTGTTTTTGTTTTGTTTTTTTTTTTTTTCCAGAAATTGAGATACAGCCTCAGGCAGTGAGTTTCATCTTAGACACCTTAATTTGCTTTTAAAATTAGGTCCAAATATAAGAACAATGCAGCATATTAATAAAGCAAGGATTATTATAAGTGTAAAGTGATCTGTTAGACCACAAAATGTTTACAGGAGTATGCAGTGGTTTAATCAGCAAGTCTTTGAAAAGAAGCTTCTTTCTGAACCTGCCTTCCAAATCATAAATTATTCACCTCCTATCATTTCTCTCCTGTATGAAACTCACCCTTTTGCAGTTTTGCTGCAAGCATGTCTCCACAGTAGCTGGGTAGGACAGACTTTCTCATCAGCAACTTTACTCTTCCGATGCCCACATGAGTTTGGTTTGGCATATTTAAAGAAGAAGGTGATTTATTTTAAATCCAGGCAGGAGGCACGGAGTTATTTTAGTGAAAGTTATTTTCTTTTAGCACTCTGTTTGTGTCAGGAGACCATCTAATTGGTATTGTTGGGAATTGAGAAACCTCACAAGCTGCCTCTGCCTCTGGAAGTTGCTCCTCAGGAAATCCGTCTGACTCACTGTTCCTATCAGACAGCCCTCTCAACAGCAAACACTGCCACATCCACGGGGCCAGAAAATAAAAGGGCAATATTTATAGAACAGTGTTAAAATTTAGTTTTAAAATAATTGGCTTGGGACCGATAGGGAGCTAAATGAGTTCACTGGCTTTGAACCAGACCCGCAAACACGCAAATGCTCATGTTGGAGTTATAGATTAATCCTCTCTAAAAATCATTTGTCCTCTCTCAACACCTTTAGGAAAGCTTTCTTCAGTGTTCAGCTCAGGGATAGTGAAGGACTGAATGGCATCAGATAACAGTTTGCAAAAGCCTTGCAATTAATTGCAAAAGAGTTAATATTGCAAAAAGAGTTAATATTCTATATGCACATAGTGCTCTTAAAGAACAGTGACAAGGAAGGGTTTCACTGAGTAGATTGCAACTTTGATTTCATGAGCATTATCATTCCCTGTTCCCCTGAAATCAGCCTATAGATGCTAGGACAGATTAAAATGGACATATCCACCACAATGTCATCCTGACATTTACCAGAGACAGGTACAGACACCACCTGTGGGACAAATACTTTCTAACAAGACCTAAATATGTAATTTGGACTGTGCTTATGCAGAGACCAGTGCAGCTCCTGACCATCTGTGCCAAACTCTTCTGTGACCAGCTCTCACACTGCCCCACCTCAGCCCTCCCCAAGGAGCCTCCTGATGCACCTTCCCACTGCTCCCCATCTGCTCAGCTTGGTTCTTTCTCCTTCCTGAGCTTCTCCTAAAACTACAGTCAAAGCAACCCCGGGATTCCAGTGCAAGGTGCTGTGCAGGGCAGGAGGCACAGGCTGGAAGTTCCCTGCATTACCTGGGAAGCTGCAAGGAGGGGATCCTGCTAGCCTTCAGAAACACATAATCATGAGAATGATTATATGCTGGTGCTTTTATTGAAGAGCTCTGGGTGTCAAGGGTACAAACCCAAATCTGACTCTGACATGGGTTCGGGATGAACATGTTTTTATATTCTATTGTTATAGAACTTTTATGTTAATTATTGAACTTATATTGTTCTATTGTATACATAGATTTCATTCAAGCATGGGCTCCTCGTGACCCCCCCTTAAACTTCTAACATAGTTTCTCATGATTGTACCATTAAATAATAATTATATTTAATTACTAAACAATCATCACATCTAACAGTTATATCATTGATCATATACTCCTTAACGCAGGTGCAATTTCACATGATCTGACAAACACAAAGCCTAACATTTTCAGAGTCCGTTTTTAACATTTATCCAGGACCCCACTAAGCCTAGCTTCTTTCTAATTCCTCGAATTTTATGATTTTAAAACCTTTTACTATCAATCCCAGTTTCAACTGGGAAGCTGCAGGTGGGTGATCCCAGTTTCAATGGGGAAGCTGCAGGGAGGTGATCCCAGCTTCAACTGGGAAGCTGCAGGAAGGTGACCCCAGTTTCCCCCTGAGAGCAAAGTCTGTTCCAGGGCACCAGGGCAGGATGAGCTGCTCCTGTGTAGGGCAGCATCTCCCAGAGCCCCTGGGCAGGCACCATCACCCTGTACTGGTGCTCCCCAAAAGAGTTCTGCCACTTTCTGGGCAGAACTGCAGGAATCCTTGCTGTCTGAGGAAACCCCAGGCCACTAGTAAGAGAGCTAGTGTTCATTTAAGCCTTGCCAGAGACTTTTTTGGCATGCTTCCATGCTTCTCCAAGAAAGAAAAGTGACTTGGAGTGGAGACAATTGACCCTGGGACTCGGAGCCTCGAGCCATTTTCTGCCTGGTTCAGCTGGTGCTGGCACGTGCACAGAGGTTTAACCCCTGGCCAGGGTCTCTGCTGCCATTCCCTGATCTGCTTGGGAGTGGCAGGAATGGTGGATTCAAGGAGAAATATACTCTGGAATCATGGTGTTTGATAGGCACCCTGGTTTTCCATGCACAGACATAAAGGAGGTTGCAAGTGTCATCATTAAATCCCTACCCATGGAAGAAAGTCATGACAAAACGAAAAAAAAACCCAATAAAATCTATCAACCAAGCAACCAAAACCAAACAGACACCACCAACAAAGTGAGAATAACAAAATCAGTGTGTGGTGTTTTCAGTTTAAAAAGCTGCAGCATGTAAAAGTAATTTTTGTTTGAGTTTTGGCACAGGCACCCCACAGACTAAGCAAGAACTTTCTAAAATTTTCCCTTACAAAATAATCTGAGTCAAATTAGAAGCATCATAAAATATTTTTTTAATAGAATAGCACTTCATTCTCAACTCTTTCATTTTCTTAGAGTATAAACAAGCCCTGTTGTCACAGAACAAAATATCTGTACATTTTCTTCTGTGGGCCAAGGGAAGGACACAAATTTTCATAGGTAAAAGAAGGATTTTATAATGAGGCAGAGGAAGGCTTGGAAAACATTGAATTTTCCTCTTCTTTGCTGTATCTTACAAACCAGGTACACTTTCACCAAAGCTGCATTATTGCATTTTCACAGTTTTCCTCCTTAGCACATCAGGGTTGAGGAGAATTTCATCGCCTGACTGTCCCTGCAGATGGGTACGAGGCAGATGGTGGCACAAACTTTGAAGTCTTAGAGGTCACTTGTCTACTGGAAGCTTTCCTGCTCAGACAAGTGGGAACGAGTGCCAAAAAGGAGTTGGCAGAACTTAAATTATAGTTTCCAGTAAAGATGTTGAAAGTACCTGCTAAAATATGACTTGCAAAAATCTCTAATCCATATTTCTAAGTATAAAGTGACTTCCTGTTTGTTATTTTAATCTCGCAACCTCACATTTTTTTACTTTAAAAAGAACCATAGGCTGCCCTTTTCGAACAGATGTATTTTTTTTTTAGACCCAGCAACTTCCTATTCTATTTAATGTCACAGCAACTTTCTCTACAGGCATTCTCAGGTTTTCTTCTTGTAAGACAACAGCAGCCAAGCTGTAGTATGGTGAAAATCAAAATGAAAAAGCTTTTCAGAGTTTTTTTATTTCTATATTTACTATATAAGTTTCTGTATTTACTGCATAAATCTCTATGCGAAGCAATACACAAATATTGTGGACAATAGATAAAATTATTTCTTGATTGTAGATCAAATCTTCCTGGACCCATTATTTGTATATACAAACTGTCTAATTTGTGTATACAAAGATGAAAATTACACAGTGTTTTATGTGAGAATACTGTTAGATTTTAAAACTAGCTATATTTAATGGTTAGATTCCTCTAGTTTAAATTCTTCCATCATCAATGATTTTTCTAATATGGGGAGGTTGCCTTTTGAAATTTGAAGCAGAACATTTTCATGTTTGGAGTTTTTCAACTTGAACTTTTAAGGATTCTTAAGGCAATCTCCAAGTTCATATGTTCAAATTCAAACTTAGAAATAAAACACTCTCTTTGAGAAATCTACCCACATAAAAATACCCTTCATGTCTAAGTCTTGTTCATTTTTCCAAGAATAAATAAAACCCATCTTCATTTTTAGAGGACAAATAGTGAGGCTTGACAAGACACAAAGCACAAATTATTACAAACAGATACAAGGGAGAGGATTTAAGACAAGAATTACCATGCCTGGAACAAATTAGATTGTCCACACAGATCACAAAGTGGCAGCACAAAAAAAAAAAATTAAAAAATGCTAGAAGTTAACTTGAAATCAGCAATACAAAATTAAAGGAAAGATAAATTCACTGCAGTGAAGCTCAGAGGTAGATGTTCCTATCCTGCCTGCAAGGTAAAATGCTCATGGCAAGATTCCTTTCTGCATCTCCAGAGAAAGAACATGAAGGTGAGGGAGGCCTAGATTAATTCCTGTGGCACTGAATGTTGTATGACTCTGCAAATTCTCCCACAGTTGGCACCCAGGGATATCACAGCTCATTTGCCTCCTAAAAATATAATGAAATGAACCAAATTGTGTGATTCTCAAGCCCCCAGAAACTGCAGTGTTCATATTAGATGATGGAAATCAATAGAAACAAAGTAGAAATATAATATAGAAATAAAGTACTTTTGCTCTGTGAAAAGTAGATGGTCCCTGATGGCTTGGTCATATTTGGTCATCTGCATTTCCACTTTTCAGCTACATGAAAGAAGGTTCCAGCTGTTATGGATCTGTGACTGGCAGGTCAAGTGACAATTAGGAATAATTCATTTATGCACTCACCACTTTGGTGAGAGTTCACAAATTGGCTAAAACTGGCTCAGCCAAAACCTCAGCCCAGCATTTTTTTAGGATAAATAGGGAGATCATCTGAGCTGCTGCCATATAAAATCGACTTTCATAAGCTGTTCTGAGCCTAAAATAGCTCTGCTTCCCACACCTTACAAACAGAACTTCTTTCCTTTCCACTCCTTTTTAAAAAATCTATTTTAAAGGGATTTATAGTGCAGCTGAACTCTGTTAAAGGGCAGGATGGCTTTGTAGTGTGCCATCAACGCACTTTAACTCCATCACAAACACAGAAGTTGAGTGTTGACTTAGGCCTTTGCAGAGAATGAAGTCCAATGGTTTTGCTTCTAGGAAACAACTTATTCTAAACTGTTTTCTTGTTCAGAGACTGATATTTGAAATGACATTTTACTGGGGCAGTGAGTGCTGGGCCCAATAACTGTCAGATCGGTGATTTGGTTTCACCTCAGAGCACTTTAAACCTGACACCCTCAGGGTGGAGGAATGACCATTTGCATAAACTGTTTAAGGTGAGATGTCAAACATGTTTTGTACAGTCTTGTCAAGCAGGACAGCAAAATTAAAGGAGTTTTAGAGCAGTTCAGTAGCAGCCTCTCTAGATAACAGCAGCATTTAATGCAGCATTTAATGTCCATCCTTCACTTGCTCAGTCTTGACTTTTACCATAATTTCCCTCTCTGGGCTGCAGTCACATCCTGCACGCTGCTTTAGCAAGAAATGTCACCATGTTGCTTAAAAAATATGTGTTGGAATAAGTTTATTTTCCTGCTTATAATTCAGACCCTTCTGCAGCAACAAAATCTGTGTTGTTCAGAAGAGCATGTACTCTACACATACACATGTATTTTTGGTGTGCTGAAAAAGAGTCAAGGGTACCATGTCAGTTGACACTCAGGATGTGATCCAAAACCCATTGGAATTTAGATTTTCCCCACCATCCCTGAGATTTTTACTGAGAACACATGGATTACTGTAATGTGGCAAACCCAGTGACCCCATCCAGTGAAATTCCCACAGAAGGAGGGTGTCCCTACAGTCAAATATGCATCTGGGCAATTTTGCAATGAACCAATAGAGTTTAGAAATGTTCATACATTCTCACTATGTTACAAGCCTTTCAGAATCCTCATTTTATTCATCCATTTCTCCTGCTTGTCTCACAAAAAAAAAGAAAGAAACCACAGAATTACCCTCTCATTTCACCAGGAAACTGCTTGGGTTTGCCTGACTTTTTTAAAACTTCTTTTTTTGCTTTCATTTTTTTCATCATGAGGAGAATCAAAAGTAGATTCGATGTTCTGTGAGATTTTCTTTCTGCGGCGAGTGTGAAACTTTGAAAGGGAAGGCTGTTGCTGTTCTCTTGTGTGATATTCTCCTGGGTGACATTCATCCTGTCATGGTGATGAAATGAAGCTTTAGCTTTTGTGGCTTCAGCTTTTTCTTGGCAGTCTGCAACCACCTGCCTGTTTGGGATTATTTTTACCCTTTATTTTTAAGCCCCTTGATGTTCCAGGAGCACCAGGAGCCACCACATTGCCTGGAGTTCAGCTGCTCCTTTTCAGCTGATGCCCAAGAGGTCTCTTGATCAGCTGAACTGCTTCGTGGCCCCATCCATCTCCCACTGAACCAGCATTTCACTGGCCTCAGTGGGAGCTGGAGCAAATCTTAATTGAATATTGTGAGGATAAATTGGGATTGATTCCAGCTGTATTTTGTATTATGCCTTTTCATCATGAAATGAAGATGGAATTAAAATTAATACTGACAGGTTGTTGAGTTTTGACCCCAGTTCATTTATTTTGGTCACCATCTTTTCTCATGCCCAGCTTGAGCACAGCTCTAATTCATGCATTTTTTAAAAACTGCTAGTTTATTACTCACTAATTGGTGTCAGGTTATGGTCTTTGCCTCTGTAAAACTTTTCTGCTTAAGATGAGAATATCTGCCTTTTTTTCACATTATTTTTCTTCACAGAACTTCCGAGCAAATGAAATGAATACTGGTTGATTTCCACACCTCTAATTCATTCATTTTTAAAAAAAATGCTGGTTTATTACTCACTAATTGATATCAGGTTATGATCTTTGCCTCTGCAATGCTTTTCTGCTTAAGATGAGAATACCTGCCTCTTTTTTTCATATTATTTTTCTTCACAGAACTTCCAAGCAAATGAAATGAATACTGGTTGGTTTCTGCTGTTACTGATCTATAACAGGTTGGGGTATATTTAAGTAAATGCACCCAGCCTTTCCTGCCCTCCCCTCCAAACTCACAGGCACAGTGACAGAATTGAAAGTGTTTTTGTGTAGTTCATAGCAAGCTGCAGAATGCACAGCCCACAGCAGCCTTTGCATGCACTCTTTTGGCTCTTGAGCAGCATTGTTCATGAATAAATAGTGAGGAAAAAGCTGTCCAGCAGAAAATACCTGCATGAGTCCCCTTCCTCCAGGGAAGATGTCACATAGCACTCAAGTGCAGGAATTCTTAAATTAAACATCATCCAGGACAAATATAGCAATAGTGGTTTCAATCCATACCATGTTCCAAGAGGATAGAGTACCTAAATAGGATGTGGGTCAAATTCTGCTTCCTGAATTCTCTAGAGCTGATGTTAAAGGGTCATTCTGCTTGGAGCTTCTCAAGTCCAAAGCCCTTAGTCATATTCACTAGGGGACATCTGTATAGTTACATTTAAATGGGTTTTGGAGGCACTAGGCTTAGGGAAGAAAAGAAAAAAAAGTTCCTTTTCAAAAGATATTTCCTTGTTTTGACTGTTTTTCATTTCATGGCCATGGCACATTTCAGTAATCCTCATTACACATATCAACAAACCTCCTTCCTTTCAAGTCTGACAGTGTTAATAAAAAGCCAAAGTTGTGACAGTTCTGCTTGCTGACTGCCTGAGCCTTGAACACAAGGGGGAAAATATGATGCCAGCTAACCATGGGAGCTGAAAACCCAGAGAGTAAATAAAGTCATTGTACTGAAGTGAGACAACTTGAAATTCTGTCCACAGAGCAGGTTGTTCCCCTCTTTGGGGACCAACTGTTGGAAACGTCGTGCTCTTGTTTTTCCTTCTGTGTCCCCAACATTGACAATTAGAAAGGAAATTGCTAACAGCCTTTTAGGCAGTGAGGAGGAAAACTCCAGCTCTGTTTTTGATTCTTCTGTCTCGTGCTGTGGTAGGTTTATGTCAACGGGGAGTGGGTGACCAGCATTGGGGAAGGAGGCAGCTTCGGGGAGCTGGCGCTGATCTACGGAACGCCCCGCGCTGCCACCGTCAAGGCCAAGACAGACCTGAAGCTCTGGGGCATCGACAGAGACAGCTACAGACGCATCCTGATGGTGAGCTCGTGGGCAAGGGATTCCTTGTGGGTGGGTATTTTCTAGTTTCTTTTGCAGCTCTGTGTTCAGAGTGCTCTGGTGCTTCCACGTGAAAGGGAGAGGACATGGCAAAATTGCAGAGTAGCTGAATGAAGTGAGCTGAAAGAAAAGGGGACAGGATTCAGCAGAAAGGAGCTGAGTCAGAAATGCAATTGAGAAACATTATGCATAACTGTTCTGTGAATGAAAACCTCAGGAGGCCTCTGTTACCCACCAAAGCTATGCAAATCCTCTCCTTATCGTGAGCCTGGAAATATCTCTCAGCAGCACCCCTTGCCTGTGAAGTCTTTGTCTGATCTTGTATTACATTCCTCAAGGCAGGTGATAGAAAGTAAATCCAGCTCCACTAAAATAATAAAAAGGCTTGCTTGGACTATGCCCTCCATCTTTGTTAGCCAGCACCCAGCCACACATACCATGGGGTTGTAGCTGCTAATGATTCATTGCTCTGCTCCTTTCAAACTCCCTCATCCCTGCAGCAGAGCTCGGCAGACCTTTGTGGCACCTGGGGCGTGTGCTGGCTTATGGATTTGCTGTTGGTTCTCGAGTGGTGAGTTTATAATGGAAACTTTGACAGATAATTAACTTCAGCAAAGTCATAACTTTTTTATGAGTTTGTTTCCAATGTCCATGTGCATATCTTCCTTCTCTGTAAAATATTCCTTTTCTTTTTGATAATTAACAGACATTACTCTGTGTAAAGCTTATTTCTCAATAGGACTTGCCTTTCAAAGCTGCATTGTTCCATTCTGATCTGAAGGAAGTGACACTGTGCTCTCAGACTAACAATTTTGAGATCATCTGTATTTCCAGTGGGTGTTACAGAAAACAGAAAAGCCAGCAAAGGAACTGAGTAGTTTTTACCCTTAAATGATTAATTCTTAAGCAGTAGGGTAAAAGTGATCTTTGTTTACCCTGTGTGATGGCTGTTGGGTGTCTGCATGAGCACTGCTGCTTTTCACTCCCTATTTCATGGGTTGAGTTCAGTGTCACATAAACAAACATCACACTGGCATGTAGGAGAGTACAGCTGATGGAAATTTATTCTACCCCAAAATATTCAGCCTGATGGCCCCAAGAAAAATTGAGGAATAATTATGAAAAGTGTTTTGCCTTCTCTCTTGTGGGTAAGCAGGATGAATAGTTTTGAAAGGTTCCCAGTGCAGGCAAGAAGGCAAAGGCATTTCTAAAACTCAAGAGAATTTCTAAAGAGATGTGAGAGGCACACACATCTTATTTGTCCCATGTCCTACAAGGATGCAGTGGAGAGGTTTGGGGTAACTGGTGTGATGAAACTGCAAGCTACAAGGAAGAACCCAAAATTCAAAAGTGAAGGAATGTAGGAGGGAAATAAATGTCAGGACAAGGCTCATATTCCTTGGCTCTTTAAGCAGAGCTTTCTGCAGCTGCCTGTGAGCTTGTGTAAGGAATTGAAGGGACAGGTTCACAGGCTCTGCAGCCTGGAGGTGATTTCAGTGCTGGTGTTGATGGAACCAGAGGTACCTAAAACCAGCCAGCCCTGTGAGCTGTCAAGGTTGGTCATGTGTCCGTTATCACCTGATAGCATGCTTCAGAAGATGAATATTTGATGCAGAGACAGGACTCTGCTAAAAGGATTTAAAGTCCCAAGTGGAAAAAACTGTGTTTTTAATGCTGGTTTGGTCATACATACAAGCTGAATATTATGGTTGTACTTCTGTTTGATTCTAGTAGTGCTAAGTGCTTTTCCAATTAATTTACATGTTCTCTGGACCAGTGCCTGCTGTACCTTAGCTAGCAAGCTCAGTTTCTGCAGTCAATGAGACCTTTTGATTAACATGGATATATTTCACTCCCTCTCTTGCTTCTTGTGTTTTTTTCACAGTTGAGGCCACTAAAAATTGATGTTCTGTTGCACTGTGTGAGATACCCAGACAGCATTATTAGTGCTGAGATAGGAAATATTTCTTGGTAAATTATTTGCAGCAGGTGTAGAAAATGTCCAATTTTAAATGCAGCCCATGGTGAATGCAATTTACCCATCCACAATGAATGAATCCTGTCACCTTCCCATGTATTTGTAGGTGCAGGGAGGATAACTTTGTTGCTGTAGGTGAAATGAGACACCTGTCTTTGTGCAGTCATGTGAGGGCAGGTTGCAGTGGCTCTCTGCACATTTCTTCAAGCCTAAGAATTAATTACATCATGTTTCAGTGGCTGCATCTCATACCTGGAGCTGACCCCACCATTATGGGGCTGCTTTTGCTGTGCTCAGTTCAAGTGTTGTAGTGGCTGCCTCTCAACACCCAAATACATGTTTTCCTGCCATTTAGCCTCTAACTGGGTGTTTTGAATGTATAAATACTTCTGCTTTTAAATAAGGAGTAGTAATGCTTAGGGTACCTTTTGAAGTGTATCATTTAAGATGGTTTCAAAACTTGGGAGCAAGAGGGTTTCTCTTTTCTTATTTTCTGGTTTCAAATCCTTTTGTCCAAGGAATAAATGACCTTTTCCTGCCAAAGATTTTTGCTGCAGTCAGATAAAGCCCCTCCATAACCCCAGATAGTTATTTCTCTTGTCTGCATTCCTTCCCTGCCATGACCAGCCCCGTGTTTTCTCAGTCAAGTGTTGAAATTTTATTCAAGTTGTAAATATTTATTTGCAAATCATGCCTTCAGATCCACACTTGCCAAAAAGATTTTATCCTGTCATGAGACACTTGACTCTCCACCTCCTTTCTCCTTGCAGGCTCTATTTTGGTCCTGTGCTTTGCATTTAATAATTTCTTGGTTTTATTTCTGCTTAGTGCCATTTTCCCCACTTATGTGTCTCATTGATCCTGACTGGTTTATGATATGAATAAAATGTATCTCAGGAGGTTTGCAGTTTGGGGTTTCCTTTTTATGGATGGACAAAGCCTGATGCAGAAGGTTCCTGCTGGCTTTTTGTTACACTTGTCATCCATTTATTACTTAGCCTGTCCCGGAGGAAGTTTGTTGAAACAGATACATTTCTTTATATTTCATTGTCTCAGCTTAGGTACCCTGATGGCTTCAAGGTCACATTCAAGTTTGTTTTAGCAGCTGTGATGATTGTAAATGTTGGGATGGGTCTTTTTGTCAGAATGTGCAGTGAAACTGCAAAGTATTACACCATGAAATTCATTGTATAAGGTGGGGTACAGAAAACCCACTTCAACATGTTCCCTCTGTGGTGCACCCACAAATTATCTGTCCATCTGTGTGCTCCACTCATTTCATAGAATCATCTCTGCTGGGTTACATACTTTTCACTCTGCTGCAAATTCTTTTATGTATATATTCTCTGTGTGTGTGCACACAGGCACAGACACACACACTTGTGGATATATTCAACATTTATTTACTTACATTCTTCTGGGAGACAGCAGAGGATTTTTTTCCTGCCATAGGCTTCTCATGGAATTCAGTTGCTGCCCTCTTCTTTGCAATTTGAATTCGAGTGCATCACGGAATGGGGAACATCCCAGGGTAGTACAATATTTGTATTCTAAATATAGCAAATACCACAAATACCAGAGAAGCAAATGTCTCTATCCCAACATCAGATTGATCCCCTAGACAATTCAGTTCCCAGACTGAGAAAATCTGAAGTATTAATTTCTTGCAATTTCTTCTTGAGGAGGACTTGATCCAGGATAATTTAACTACCCTCTAGTTTCCATGGCCCAAGGTACCTGGCTCTGAGAGTGGAGCTGTGTGGGATTCAATACCTTTGGCCTATTTGGCAAACTGCTCACAGAAAGTGAGTTATAACATTGGTTTGTAAGTTGTGACAAATCAAGGATAGTCAGTTCCTAATGTTATACTTCATTTTATTCATGCTATTTGGGTTTCTTCTACTGTGTTTTTACAGCTTTGAACCCAAGAATAAATTCTTTAACAAGCAGGGGTTTTTTTCAGCTGAGATAAAATAAAGTCAGGGGGATTTTGGGTTGCCATAAAATGTAGGTTGTGTGGTGGCCAAAGCATAAAGCAACTCCAAGGGCTGCAATCCACCTGACATCTGTGGCACAGAGCACCAGGACCGTGGGGCTGCTTGGTGCCCATGGCCAGAATGCACAGGGGATCTTTCTTTCTTTCATTAGCGGGAATGGACACCCAAAGCATCATTCAGGAACAGCTTAACCAGGGATTAAATGGGGCTGTGCAGTCCTGAAGTCCATTCTGGCACCTCCTGCCAGGATAACTCTCCCTTTGAAACTTGAGTCGTGCTTTGCCTCTCAGTAGACATTTGTTTGGCTTCTTACTGAAGGTGGGGATTTCCAGGAAGGAGTCAATCAGCTCCACCTGAAAAAAATGAATTGGAAACAAGACACAAAAAAAGAAAGATTGGACTGGAGGAATGAGAAGAAAAAAATGGGAGAAAACAGGGAAAGGGCAGTTGGAAATGAGATGAAACAGATGTGGAATAGGAACTCAAGGACCTGTTGCAGTCTCTGGGGTATTCATCTTCCCCAGCCTGTGTATTGCTTAAGCTAAGCCTAGGTCTTGCAACATTAAATGGTCCTAAAAATGGCTTTGAGGCCTTTTCTGTGTGGATTTGAGGAATGAGAGTGATCTTGTTTCTCCTTGGGACTGTCTCAGGGAGGAGCACTGCAGCTTAGAATATTAACAAGGCTTTGTAGTTAATGGGAGCCACTGCCTTTGAGGAGATGAGCTTGTGCCTGACAGCTCAGAGCCAGGGAGAAAGTGAACAAAGGAGAAGGGGGAGAGGGAGAAGCAGCAACTATTGAAATAAGTTATTAATAGGATAGAAAAAAGCAGAATTAATAAAGACTTTTTAAAACATGCCATCAAGAACCTTGCCAGTGCAGAATTATTCATGTACATTTACTATTGTTTTTATCTGGCTTTAGCTGTAAGATTTCTACCGCTTCCCTTGGGAAACTTTTCTGCGAGAGAATAATTCCTTCATTGGAAAACTTTTTTGATATTGATCTTAAATTAGATTTTCTTGATTTTCTCCCATTACTTTGAGTTATGTCAAGTTGTGCTGTACTGAATTGCCCTCTCTTTCTGTCACATCTGTAGATAATTATCACTGTCTACTTAAAGCCCCTGCCACAGTGCATGCTAGCTATGAGGATGACATACCTATGATCCCAGTGCTGAGCCAACAAATACAGGCTGGATTTGTTTTGCTCCTTCCTTATCAGCTCTTCCTGAGTGTTTCAGCATTTCTTCAGGCTCTGTTGGATTTGGGAGCACATTTCTGGAGGAGAGGTACCGAGACAGAATGTGGCACACCAGGCGCCGTCACATCTGAGCCACGGAGATGGAGCCTCTAAACTTCATTCCTGGATGATATCTTTGCCTGTGCAGACCAAAATAGCCTTGGCTGTGTTCTTGTTGCAGTCTGATGCAGGTCTCACCTCCTGCCTGTGAATCTCTTTCAGCTTTACAACTTGCAGGTCTTCTCTATGTCAAACATCTCTGCTTTGGATTTTTTTTATTAGTTATATTTTCCAAATGGATGAACATTCTATTATTTTCTAGCCCCATTTCTAACGTCTCCAGATCCCTTTTTTGTTATTTTCCTGCTCTGGTGAACTTTCAGCATCTCATAGTCTGTAAATGTTGGCACTGTCTTAATTGCTGCTGCTTCTGGGAGCTCCATGAAAATTTTGCATGAGGACAGACCCAGCACATGTACCAGGGAATGCAGAGGTTGGCACCTCTGCAGAGGGCACCTGAAGGGTAGGAGAGGAGATTGTGATGCTGTTCATAGCCCTGGCCTCAGCAATTTGGGTAAAGCAACTAAAGAAAAGTGTAAAAAGGACATCAGAAGGCAGAGGTGATGCTATGCTTTTGAGGGGATGAGAAAGGAATATCAGGCTGGCCAAAATAGGTTGGAAGGAACTAAAGATGATCTTTAAGGTCCCTTCCAACCCAAGCTGTTCTATGATCCTGTGATTCTGTGTTCTCCCTGTGTTTCATGGGAGAAAAGATGGTTAATACCAAAGGAAATAAACACATGGTTGGTTGGCTGTAATTCCGCTGCTGGGTTGTTTTCAGCTTGCACTACAGTACTGATCTCTCCAAATCCTTCCTCTCACTCTGCTCGTGAGAGCTGCAGCAGGAAAACACACTCAAATAAAGACAAAGTGCATAAGGGTGAGCCAGGCTTCTCCTACCTGGAACTGAATTTGGGATTTGGTTGTGCCAACCTGGATCTAGCCTCAGATGCTCTGAAAAAGCAGAGGAAACTCCTGTGCCTGCCTGAGCACCCTGAGGTGAAGCTCTGTCACCCCAGAGGCTGCTGTTGGCCTCCTTGAGGAGAGAGGGAGGGAGGGATGGATGGAGCCATCCTGCAGGATGAGCCAGGAGCCATCAGCTGGGTCACCTGGGGGGTGACCCAGCTGGGGTTCAGTGCATGTGCTGGCAAGCAGCAGCCCCAAGCCCCATTACTAGCTCTTCCCATGTTCTCCCTCACCCCTGTGGGATCATTCTGATGGGATATTTAAGGCAGTGTAGCTATGCATTAAGAGGGGTTCTAGATAATATGGCAATACAAAAAATGGTAACAGCACCTTTAATTAACTATTTCCACTTCAGTTTTGCTCTTGCACTTGTCTTCACTGTGGATTCTGTACTGCTGCCCTGGCTTAGTTTAGCCAAGGCATAGCACACCTGTGTTCCTGTAGGAAGTGGTGGGCTCTTTCTTGCTGAGCCAGGTGGGATGGCTGCAATTCCCACCTTCCTGGTCTTGTCTGCATCTCTAAATACTCAAAGCCGTGGTCAGGCATCACTTATGGCTCCTGATTACTGCTTCTTAAAATTCATCTGTGTCCGCAAGTCATTTAAAAAGCATTTTCCACATCTGTCCCTGGGTGTCCCAGCCCATCAAACTAAACCACCAATCTGGTTTTCCACAGCTGTCAATTTTGCTGCTCTCATTTCCACTCGATTGCAGGGAGGAAAGCAACAACTGCACAGTGTCCAGTTTTCCATTCTTTGTCTCCCAGCGAGCTGTCAGAAGCTGGCGTGGCTCGCAGAGCCTCCTGTGTTTGAAGTTCTCCACTTTTTTTTTTCTTTCTGGCACTTCAAATGCTGCCGGGGCCCCCCGAGGTTGAGCACCAAGTCAGTCAGACAGAGGGGTCAGAGCAGGGTGAGCGATGCTATCGCTGAGCACAACTGTCAGCACCAGCCCCGAGTTACGGCCGGGCTGCGCAGGGGAGCCTCGGGAGCTGCTGCTGCTGCTGATCCACCTGGGAACAGGGGCAGCTCCTGCTGGGGCTCTTTGGGGGCAGGGGTGACCGAAGGACAGGGGTAGAAATGGGAGATGCCCCCAGAGGAGAGCACCTGGTGGCTCCTAGTTGGAGCTGGAGCCTGTTGATGTTGCTGGAAGGATTCGTGGTACTTTGGAGATGCTGCTGGAAGGATTCGTGGTGCTCTGCGGGTTGTTGCAGCCCCACCTGCACCCACACCACTTGTAGGAAGAGGGATGATATTTAATTCTTGGATACATCACCTAATCCCATTTTCATACCCAAATCACTTCTGGGTGCTTTCACATTGGAGGGCAAAGTGTTTCTTCTGCTTTCCCCTTCTCTATTCCCAGCATCCACATGTGGTCACTCAGAGGAGGAGGAATAGAGAAATGACTTTTTCAATGGCAGACACTGACATTTGCTTCCATCCTCTCTGCCCAGTCCATGAATAAATGGCATCTTTGTTTTCCTTTTCTTGAGGGGATCGATGTATCATCCTTGTGTTGTGCCTTGTAGATTTGAGTAGGGGCACTAGGCAGCCTTTGACATCCCCAGGAAATCTGCCCAGGCAGGAGGGATTTGGGGTGTCACCAGTGTGGAACCAACTGCACTGGACAAGGCAGGTCCTAGAGTTCCTCTTTGGTATCTGAGAAGAATTTCTTTACAAGACTTTCATGTCACTGCAAAAGGAAATAAGGATGCATTCATTATTTTTGTTTTTGTATTGGTAAAATTTCATCATAATTATTCCAACATGAATCACCTTCAAAAAAGCATGCTGGAGCAGCTGCTTGTGGTTTCTGTCTTGCTGATCAAACACCATGTAAGGAGAAGGTGTCTTAGAAATTTATCACACAAAAAAATCTTGGTAGAATGGGAATGACTGTGCTGGTGACTGCACATACATTGATGGATTGTCTGCTCCCAAATGCTTAAATCTTGTTAAAATGATAATATGAGTGGATTGCTCAGCATAACAATAGATCTACAGGTTGTACAGTAGATACAACACTAATCTGGTTTACAGATAAACATTTGGCAATAAAAGGTTTTTAAGCTAAAAGGATGGGCTCTACAAGGGGCATATTTTAAGTTTTATCCTACTTTGTAATTACAAAGAGCCTCATTGGCAACTATATATGTGTTGAATTAGCTAAACAGTTAATTGATGAAGTTCAGGCTTTAAAAAGAATGCCTGTAAATGGATACAATTCATCTGCAGTGTCCAGTAACACCAGTGAAGTCAGTGAAATTACAGCAGGATTGAATTTGAGTCCTTCTGTCTTTGCTTATCAGCAATGCAACTTGCCCAGACATTTTATGGGGAAACGTTTGCCTGAGGCTGTTTACACTGGCTATGCTTAAGATTTGGAAAGGGAGGGGGGAAAAAAAAGAAGGAGCAGCTGTAGGAAGAAATCACAAAAATACTTTTGTGTAATGTTCTGCCTCCTTTTTCTCTCTCCTGTAATAACAGGGCAGCACTCTGAGGAAGCGGAAGATGTACGAAGAGTTCCTGAGCAAGGTCTCCATTTTGGGTCAGTTGCCCTTTGGAACTTGGCTGTTGCTTTCTCTGTTGTTCACGTTGGCAGGATGAGTTTTGATCTTTGATGGCACGGTGAAAGGAGCAGTGCTCAGGCAGAAGGTCTCACACTGTGCTGTTTCTGAAGGAGTGAAAGCGTGAAGGGCTCTTTTTGTTTTTCTCCTTCTTTCCTGTGCGCTGCCCCTGTGTTTAGAGCACTAAAGGTGGAGCAGGCATACACTGGTACTTTCAGTAGCTGCTGCTGAGTAAAGATCATGTGGATAGAGCAGAAAGCAGTGCAGAGATATGAATTTGTCATAAAGTCCAGTCACATCCTCCCAGGGAGCAGGTGAGAAGCTTTTTCCTGCAAGAATACAGTGTTTGTGTGCACGAAACAAACCAACCTTACAAATCAAACTGGGCTGATCTTTTTTCTTCTGTGCATTTTACAGGCCCTGTCTCACATTCTTAAAACATCTGTTTAGCTTATTGTCCTTGGATTTTGTTTCCCTTTGATTAATGTGATAGCCACGAAATTTGGACATGTTCTTGATGGCCTTCAGTAGGAAAAACAACAAACCCATAATGCCTGACCAATCAATCACCATTAGGAGAACAAAAGCCTCTAATAAGGAGGACAGTGTTAGACAGTACAATGAGTTGTTGATTCTGTAGGAGAAACATCGTGTTTTTGCTGGGTCTGTTTGGAAAGAAACAGCTCAGGATTTATTTGCTATATAATTGAAGTATTTATATTTCTGCTTAAAATTTTTCTGTTTTTTCTGTGTTTATGACATTCACCTACCATTCAAGCTGAGGTACCTGAAATATGAGAGTATCTCAGTGAGAGTATACTTGAACTTCTGAGAGGTGCTATCCATGAGATTTTCAATTATATTTGTATGCTTAAAGTGAGGCCAAGTATGTTCTTGCTTATTAATGAAGTTTTCATCATTTAAAATCCTTCTTTTATGCTTAATTTAAATCTTCCTAAATTAAGAGCCCAAATAATACCAAATTACAATGAGTATTTAAAGAAAAAAAGAATCTGTGCACCTGCACTAATGAGGAGCAATTACAACAATGAGACATCTCAAAACAATTTCAGAGTAGAAAGGTTATTCAGAGATGTGCTTCCTTAAACACATTCCTTCATTGTGGCTTGCATTGTAATTAGAGCCTAATTTGTAGTGTGTCTTTTGAATCTTGGTTCAAAAAAAGAGGAAGAACTTTAGGATTTGAACTTTTTTTAAGTACAGAAAAGCAGTGAACAAAATAACACATCATTGCAGGAACATGGAAATTTAGGTGAAATGTGTAAGGATCCCTTTGACATGTCTAAAAAGTGGATGACACCTGCAAAGCAGAAAGATATTTTAGAAATCTCAAAACAGCACTGAAAAGTCAACTTCACTTTATCCCTTACTGTGGTCAGAACTCAGTGATTTTCTGGTGGAAAAACCTCTACCTGCTTCTTATGTTTCTTTTTTCCGAGGTCTGTCCAGTGTCTGTAATTAGCTGTATAATTGCAAGAGTCACTTTTTTTTTTTTAAGTCTAAGGATTTTTTTTTTTAGATTATCAGTAGTTGCTTATGAAAGAAATGATACTTTTAAATTTTTCTTCTGGAGTTTAATTAAATATAAAGTCATGAATTGATATGTACAATTTAGGCATTGATGTGGTCTAATTTATCTGATACTTCAACTCTGCAACTAAAACTTGTAGAATATTCTATATAATGATCTGTTTGCAAGATTTATTAACCAATGTATTGGTAGTGGTACAGTTCCCTTAGACAAAAGAGAGACACTTCGTGACTGGAGCTAGAATTAGCTTTGAATTTTTCATAAAGCCAACTGAAGAAGAAGTTTCAAGAGGCTCTTTCTTTTCATTGTTAATTACTGAGTTCTTAAAAAAAAAAAAAAAGAAAAGAAAAAGTCTTCTCTAGTCTGTATGAAAGAGTTTTATGCTTATTTTTAATCAAACAGAGCAGTTTTTGAATGGTGCATTGACAATATGGGCTTGGTCTTTGACGTTAGTTCTTCTGCAGCAAAGGTCACAAACACACCAGGAAAGTGCTTTAGGTGGGGAAAATGTTAGAAACAATTAATTTCCCAAGCAGCAACAAGAAAGTGGCATAAAAACATGAAGTTGTGTCAGTCAACCCCAAAATTATCTTTGGTGCTTTGAGCACTTTGGTCTGGTTTTGTTACCAGGCTCAGGGTGTACTTTTGAGCTCAGCCAAAAGGCATTTTAACTTTAAGGAACTTCCTTTCACCCTCACACAATCCTTCTAAGCAATATTTTGAAAAAAAAAAAGGGAAACCAGAGTCTGATGGAATGGCACACATCTAATCCTGGTGTCAGAAGCTGTATCTTGACATACATTAGTTCAATAATTCATAGTAAGTAGGAATCAGCAGAGCTCTGGGACGTGAATTTCAGCCCAGCTTTTTGAGGCAGTGAAGGTTAAATCATTGTATTATCTGTTGCTTTTAATAACTCTTAAGCCTGTAATTTTTCAGTCAAATCTGATCAAAGTACAAAAGTTCAAGTACAATTCACTCTCTAGAATTCTCATGCAAATGTGTGTTGGAGAGAGACCCAGGTGGCACCTCCTCCCTGAGGGCAGGACAGGTGGAATCCATCCCTCAGCCAAGGCAGGGGAGGGCACTGGGACCCTGAGCAGCCCTGGATTTAAGATTTGGATGTGCAGGCTGTCCCTTGCCATGGAGGGGATCTGGGGCAGGTGCAGGTGGGTGGTGAGGACCCCTATCACAGGCTGCTTTTGCTCTGTTAACCCTAAACCAGACCCATCGTTTTTAATTACAGAATTTTTTAAAGTTTTATAACATTTCTCCTTTAAGGGGGCGGGGGGGGGATGAAAAGGAAAAGGCTTTGCAGGTCATCCTGCTGGCAAATGAAGAAGAGGTGCCATTTCAAAATCCATAAACCTGGTGCTTCTGGTCTCCTGCTGCTGGTGCCACCAGGGTCTGGCCATTGGCTGTGGTGGTATCACCCATCCTTGAGATGTATCACTCACCCCAGAAACGGGAGCAGCTCAATGCAAGCACTGCAGGACTTGTCCTGACACCTGGTGAGGGAATCTGAGGTGCTCCCCTATCTCCAGGCACCTCCTCAGCTGCTCCAGGCCTTGGCAGTGCCAGGGCAGCCCGGATCAGATCTCAGCAGTGAGGAACCAGAGCCAACTTCCCCTGTCCAACTCTTCAGATTGCTATCTGGGTGATTACTGATGGCTAAGACACAATGAATAAATACATTCATGTTTCCCAACTGGAGGTTCGTGCAAAGTGCCTGGATGAAAGAAATGTTTCTTTTATAACAGAACCAGGCACGGCAGAGCTGTCAGTTTAGATATGAATCTTCAGCCAAAGTTGGAGTGTTTTTATAATATAGCTTTATGATCTTCAATATTTTAGAGTCCCTGGACAAATGGGAGAGGCTGACAGTGGCTGATGCACTGGAACCTGTCCAGTTTGAAGATGGAGAAAAAATTGTTGTACAGGGAGAGCCTGGTGATGACTTCTTCATTATTACAGAGGTAAGATTGGCAACCTGATAAGCTCTGTCATTTCCTGGTAAAGATCAAGGCTTTGTATTAAAGACATTTGGGTTCAATTCAATCTCTTACTTCAGCATAAATCTAACTCCACTTAAACCAGGCGACCTACTCAAAATTCAAATGAATTCAGAGACCAGTTCCATGGAATTGTCTTAAGTGGGACAATCTTTTTTCCAGTAAACTGAAAATGCAAAATAATTTTGAGGTGTGTCTGGTGCCTTTACTGTTTGAAGATTTGTTTATGTGGGAGACTTTTCTAGTTCCAAATTTCTGATACTTCAGCAGGGCTGGTCAGCCACAGAGTGCATTGATCATTGTTCCCAAAGGGGCTTACAGGGAATATCACAAATGGACATCTGAAAACTGGAGCCGGAGACCTGATCAGAAAACGGATAATTTGTTCTTTGTTTTGCCTTAAACTCATTCCTAATGGCTGAGCCATCTTTTTGTTTACTCTGACAGAGGCAGACAGATCTGTCAGGCAGCTGGAAATGCTGACATCTTTTTGGGAGATTATCTGACACTTCAGTTCCACCATCTCACTTCTGCAAACAGATGCTGGCAGGGTTTCCCCCCTCTCTGACATAAATATTTGGATCCCTGGTATCTCACACAAGCACCAAGGCACTGTGATACAACGAGCTATAAAGAGGAATTAGAGACACTCAGACTGAATAACAGGAGAGCATTAGGATATGATTGTCTATGGATTGTGACTGTTCCTGTGCAAATATACAGAGCAGAAATAGCCAATATAATAAAGTAAACCAAGCAAATAACCAACATATGGCTGTGGTGACAGCTCCAGTGCACACACCTGGCAGGTGTTACATGACCAGCAGTGAGTTCCAGTGGTGGCACAGGAACTGGGAGGGAACTGGAACCCCTCAGTGTGGGAGAAGGTGGGTCAGAAGGATCAGAAGCTGGTCATGGTGCAACCTTGGGATCCAGCTGTATGCACACAGAATGCGTCCCAGGCTTTGCTTTGCTTGCTCTCTATCTGTGGATTTTTGGACAGGTGCCTCTATACAAAGCAGCCAGAATTTAGTTCATAATCAATATCTGACATTTAAAATTTCATCCTTCCTTCCTCTTGAGCGTTGGGAATATGTATTTTATTTATGAACATAGTTTTTCTACAATGCTCACAAAATTGTCAGTGCAAGTAACTGCATCTGTCTATCATACAGGGAGACAATTCAGGAACTTTAAATAACTGACAAGCTGTGTCCCATCAAAACAACAGTGCTAGAATAAATGAGACTAAATATTATATAGGAAATCTTTTTTATTAAGAAGATGTTTAGTATATGAGAAAAATTTAGGAAACAGAAGTTTTTTTTCAGAAATATGTAATTTTTATTGCTCCTAGTGTTTCTGAATGTGCTGTTATTCCTTGCAGCAGCAGGAGACTAGGAAAATTTAATTTTCTTAGCCATTGAATCCCATGTGGAAAATTGGCAGCTTGCTTAAGAGTTACCAAGGGCCTTTATTTTCCCCTACTTGCTGAAACAGCTGTTAAGTCTTGAATGGGTAGAAAAGCATTAACACTGCATTCTGTAGAAAGTATCTGCTCACCTCACCCTTCACTGCAAATCTGACTTAGTTTCTTACTTTGGAAATTGCCTATATTTTTTACTTTAAAGAATGAACATCCAGTTTCAACTATTTCTTGTGCTGCAGCCTGCTCACACAGAGTTTAAGCTTCATATTTTAAACGTGATTTTTACAGGAGTTCACATCTTTGATTTTAAGCTTTTCTGTAGGAAAAATTGCTGCAAGTCACCAGGAACACATTATTCTACAACCTGCTTGAAAGTAGTTTTGGCTGGTTTGTTGTCACAATATGTTGAAAAGCCATTAGCTTCTTTCATATGCTTTTTGATGTTTGTGGTCTTCTAATCCAAACCACTAGAAATGCAGCCAGGTTGTTTGGCTGCTGTGTATGCAGAAAACCATTTCATATATCACTAAAATGCAGCCTCCTTTGGAGCACAGCGTGTCCAGTACTACAAAGCTAACTTGGCCACATGATTTTTTGGACAAGGTACTCATTTACCTTTTTATTTACTCATTTTACATTCCATGCAGCTCCAGTTGTGTCCTGGGCTGCTTCAAAAGCAGCGTGGCAGAAAGTCAGGGGAGGGGATGCTGCTGCTCTGCTCTGCTCTCTGTGTCCAGCTCTGGGTCCCCTCCCTGAGATGATCACAGGGATGGAGCCCCTGCCCTGGGAGGAAAGGCAGAGAGGACTGGGATTGCTCAGCCTGCAGAGGAGAAGGCTGCAGGGTAACCCAACTGTGCCCTTCCAGCACCTGAAGGGAGCCTGCAGGAAAGATGGAGAGAATATTTGCCAGAGCCTGGAGTGGCAGGACAGGGGAATGGCTTCAAAAGAAAAGGAGCAGCTTTAGATTAGATATCAGGAAGAAATTCTCCCCTGTGAGGGTGGTGAGGCCCTGGCACAGGTTGCCCAGAGAAATTGAGGCTGCCCCATCCCTGGAGGTGTTCAAGGCCAGGTTGGATGGGGTTTGGAGCAACCTGAACTACTGGAAGGTGTCCCTGCCCATGGCAGAAGGTGGAACAAGATGAGCTTTAAGGTCACTTCCAACCCAAACCATTCTATGATTTATCATAACCATGATCATTCATATCATGCCTTAGACAAACCAGTTATCACTTTATAAAGCTTTGGTGCATCCCAGATACTGGTTCCAAGTGGAATCTTGTGAATCCTACCATAAAAGCTTCTCGAGGCACCTAGGACTCACATATGGATTTAAAATTGTTGAACTTCATGAATTAGTCATTAATTTCTGGTTAGCCTGCCTTGCTCTGTGCCATCCCTTTGGGACATTGTAAGGACATTGGTCCTGCCCAAGGACACAGCCTGTGACTGGATTGGCACCTTCAGGATTTGCAGACTGAAGAGAAACCACTGAAACCTTTTGAAAGGGAGACTGATAGCTCCAGTGATGATCAGAAGAGCAATTCCTGCTTTAAACCAGGAATATCATCCTAGTTAGTGTGGATAAATCGAGTTAGTCTCCCCCTTCTATCAAGAAAACACATTCACCTTTTCTCTCCATTTCTTACTATAACCTTTTTGTTATGGCTTTCTGTCCACCTTCCTCCCTCCAGTGTTGCACAGTTTATTTGGGGTGCAGGTTATTTGAGGTGCAGGCTGTGAGCGTGGAAATGCTACAGTGCCTCTTGGAAAGCAAGGCTGCAGCAGGAGCTCAGCCAAATTATTATAATAACAGAAAATGTGCACAGGGAAGAATCACAGGAAACCAGAGCTTTTTAAGTTCACTGCTCACAAAGCTGTTTATGGTTCATTTTTTGCTAAAAAATCTAATGAGAAAAGTGTATACCCTGAGATTCCAGGACAGCTACAGTTTTTCTGCCATCCTAAATCTTCACAGGCACCAGTAAGATGTTTACTTGCAGTAATTTGGGTTCTTTTCTGTTTAAATATCAAGCAGCCTTCAAAAAGATTTAGTTCTAATATCTAAAGGTTGTGGGGTTTTTTTTCCCAGAGATAGAATTATTGTGATGTTTATACCGGATTCCCTAATGTGAAGATAGAATCAGAAGTTAATGTCTGCTTATAAAAGCAAAGTAACGACTTCTGTGAGATTGATTTACTGCACTTGAAACTAGTAATTAAAAATAAAAAAATAAAAAAAGAAGCAGCCCTGCAGTTTCTGTATTTTCAGATATTTCCAGGTCTTACTTTCCCACTATGGTTTTCACACAACAAACTCGGGCTTTCCCAGACCAGACAGATGTGGAATGTATCTGCTGGATTCCAAGGTCATGGAATTATCCCATATGAGATTCCTGGCACAGAGGTGAAAAACTTTAAGCACCATGAAACAATTGTTGCCATAAAGAATTATATTTTGGCAAGCGTAAATCATAACAGATGTACGGTTTCTAACAAATAAATTTGCAGTTGTGTCGTGCCCTGCCACACTGTGTACCCAGCAGTGGGGAGGATTTATTCATCTGACTTCAGATAACGCAAATATTTTTAGCCAGCATTTTAAAGTGGTGGATGCAAAGGCATGTGAGCTTTATGGAGTTTAAAGCCCCTTTAAATGAAATGCCAGTTGAACAGGGGCTGGTTTTATTCCCAAATTGTGCTTTGCCACAGACTCCAGTTCAAACAGTAGTTCAAACCAGTGTAGTAGTGCTCTGAAACTGGAAAGAAAAGAGGTTTTTGCTGTTGTCTAGGTTACTGGGAAAGGTAGCGACAATAGCATTAAAAATAGCGGTTCTGATCATGTACCACTCTCTCAAGTTCAGCTTCCAGCTTGGCTGGGTGGCACGGTACCTCGAAGTCTGTGAGGCAGCTGCCAAAAACACTATTCCATAAATCACCAAAGGGACCTGCAGCCTGCTGGGGTTTCCAGCTGCCAGCCCTGCCCTGTCCCATCCCTGGCATGGCTTGTCACGAGCCAGCGCCGTGTCCGGCGCACCCAGCCCGTCACGGGACTCACCCCCCGTGCCCAGGGACCCTCTGAGTCTCAGCTGCACTCTCAGAGCTTGCTGAGCTGCTGCCATATGGCCCTGATACTCACAAAGTTTGACATGGTTCAAGAAAAATGTGTGCACAGGCACACAAACGTGCGCAGGTGGAGGAGGAGAGAACAGCAAAAGGTTTCTGACAGGGCCAGGGTGAGCCTGAGGAGCACAGCTTGTGGCTGCCCTTTAAGTGTACAGCCTGTCATCTGCTGCCAGGACAGGTTGGTTTAAAAAGAAAGCGTGGAAATAAATCTGCATGAGAAGTAAAACATTTGCAATTAATAGCTGGTTGAGCTGCCCAGCAATCGCATGCAGCAGTCTAAAAATAAAAGACCTAAAAATAGAAGATAATTCACAGGAGACAATTCAAGGAGAAATGGACCCATGGTATCAAGGAGTTTGGCACTGGATTTTTGTTTTTAGCTTTAAAACCCAGTATATTTAATTGCAGATTT